ATGTAATGTGATATATTTTGATGAAGGATGGTTCACTTGCAAAAGTCGGTGTTGGTGAATATTATGTTGTCAACAGGCAAATGCACCACAGGTTGACTGACTGAGGTTTGACATTTACGTCTTGGCTCACTCTTGTCTGTCTTGTTTAGACCGCGCTCGTGTTGTTGGAGGCTTGCCAGATGTGGTTGCAATCCAGGAGGGCAAGGTAAATAAACTAGATATTTGGTGTGTTAATACACTGTGTGATGCTCATTGTCTTAACTTCCTCTTTCTTTTTCATTGTCTCATTCCTCTGAGCGTTTCTTTCCTCTGAATTCTGTGGAATCCAGTTTTATAATGGCACACATCAATCTTCTTTTTCTCTTTAGTCCCTGAATCTGACTGGCAATGTCTGGGGCGAGCCCGCACCTGAGGTGTGCTGGATAAAGAATGACAGGGAGCTGGTGTCTGACGAGCGCTACAAACTCAAGTTCGAGCACGGGAAGTTTGCCAGCATCACAATCGCCACCGTCACCACGGCTGACTCTGGCAAATATGCCCTCGTGGTCAAGAACAAGTACGGCACAGAGGCTGGAGAGTTCACCGTCAGCGTCTACAACCCAGACGACGAGGAGAACAAGGAGGGGAAGAAAGGCTAAAGGATGATGCGATGCAATGAAATAAAGCAGGAAAAAAAATTAACGACTGGGCTATCTCCAAAGCATTTTACCCCGGCACATGCCGGTGCTCCAAAGCAGTTTAAATAAATGATGAATACAGCTGCTTCCTCCTGCCTCTTTCATGTGCTGGGCTAAAGAGCTTTGGGCATTGCTTGTCAAGGAAGCAAACAATGAATGTGATACAGGGAGGATAACTGTGTGCTTTTAGTTGCTTGACATGTCTTCTGTCACTTGTGTCCACTATCAGCAGTAAATGTAATGTGTAATCATGGGAAATGGTTGACCTGTCGTTAATCTGTGTTTTAAAAACAGCATGTAGGCCAGAAAATGCAAAAGCACATTTTTCTTTTAATATTACAGTATTTCATTCGGAAAAAACCTTTGACCTCTTAAACCAAGTCTTGCCTGAGGTTTATGTATAAAATAAAGGAAAAATATCATGTCATGAACTTCCTACCAGCTATTTGTCATTGCTCCACTGATTAAACCTCTTGGTGTCTTATTTATAAGCAGCTATTCTATTTAAATTGTACCGTGTGCATGTATGTTACGTACCTTTTTGATGTAATGTTTGCAGGCTACAAGTGTCAGTCACAACAACAGTTTGTAGGAGAGGTGGAGCAGGAAGACGCTGATGATAGAGTAGTTTAAGTGTGACAGCAAACACACACGGCAGTTGAAACTGGTTCATTCAAGGTGTCTCACACAACCTTCATAGCAGTACAGGCATAATTGGCATACTTATGGAGGTTTTTCCGTAGAACTAGTCACAGGAGTGCCAGACACAGTCAGGGAAACGTGTTGAAAGTCGGGGGGGGAATGTTGTATTTCAGGTACAATGGGAGGAATTCATACAGATAAACTGCCCTGCAGCACTTGGTCTGAGGCTGTGTGTCTAATGAACAAGTTGAAAATACTTGTATCTTCTCTTCCAGGCACTAATAAAAGTGCATCTGCTTTAGAAAGGGTTCATCCATAAACAGTTCATTGATTGAGAGAAACGCATTGCCTTCATTAAAGTTAAATAATCTGATTTGCTACAAGCTCAGAGGTTGTTTTATTTTAGGGGGGTTAATTATGTCCTATTAGAAAACAGCTGCTCCAATTGTGGCATCTGATTTTTTCCCTGCTTTCATTGCTGGTGCCATCCAGCAAACCCCCAAAGTAAGGCCCACAAAAGGTCCCCTAAGAATGAATCAATGAACACATTTTTACCCTCTCACCCACATAATGTAGCGCTATTTGTATGTATGTGTGTGTAATATCTGTCAATAAATATCCTCTTAAGATGAGCTGCTCAAGGGGGGGGGGGCGAAGTCTTACTTAACTGTGTAAGAAGCTACAATAATTTAACCCTGGACTGGAGGTGTAGGAGCAGCTGTGCGAGAGCGCCGCCACCGTGCGGCTCCCTGTCCCATCAACTCCGGCTCCCAGTGTTTCCAGCCGCACCAGTCAGCCACGGTGGTCCAGGCACCGACACGTCAGGAGGCTTTTCTTTTTTTGGAGGAGTTTCACAGGCACAAATATGGGGACTCACTGAAGACACCACAGCGTCCTTCATCGGCAGCCTCCCCGCGGAAGTAACCGAAAGGTAAATAGTTAGCGATTTGGGTTGATTTCAAACCATTTTTTTTTTTTTTTTTTTTTTTTTTGATGGCCGCTCGCTCCTGCCTGTGATAATGCATATTTCTGATTGTACCGTCGGCTAATGTTAGCTAGCCTGCCAGCTGGCTAACATATCTTGAGCTCTAAATGGGGTTTATTTAACTCGGAGTAACACAGCTAGAGGCTTTAGAAATCCATTCATCAACGTGTGAAATGTAACGTGACCACTTTTCATTGAAACCGGGCGACGTAGCGTGAGCAGCGACTGTTACCGTTTCACCGTTTGCTATTAGCTAACGGTAACACCGAAGCTAGTCGAGCGTTAGCGGAGCCTCGTCTCCATTCATTTATTTTACTCTGTACTCTGTTCTCTGCTCCTCTGTGTACGGCTTATATCTCTACAATCATTAAACACACAGTCAACATGATTCACATTTTAAGTTGTTGTTTTTTTTTTTTTTTTTTTTTTGGTTTCTGTTCGTTTATTTCCGGCAGTTTCCGTTCATGTCATAACGTCGCTTGTTCACTGGTGGCATTTCCAATCAAGATTTTAATCTCTTAGATTAGCATTTTTTAGCCCCCCCTAAATAAATAAATAAATAAATTGTGCGACATGTAAGGTAGTTTACTTGTTGTGTGGTTAGGTCACGTCTTTCTCGGCTCGTAAACAGCGCTGCCACCTCATCAAATAAAGCACCTGTCTGTGGGTGGTACTGAAAAACAACAACACACGAACCAACAACTTTAGTGGGCTTTTGTTTTAAGTTAAGAACTATAACAACTGGGCATTTTATGTAAATGTGTAGTCTCACACTGTTACTGTCACTTAATCATTGACACTGAAGCCAGTGTATCACTGTCCTTATGTAACCCCCAGCTCTGTTATGACACCTCGGTGAGCAGTACAGTTTAACTCATTTCTACTCAGTTGACAGGAGGTTTATTAGCTAAAACTAATGAAGTCTAATAACAAACTTCCATTTAAAACTTGTTTCATGTCTGTTTGGTTCTTGTTGAAACTTGAGAGGTGTTGAATTCAAATTCTTGAGGCTATAGTTTGTGGAGCTGTTGCGTTGTGTTGTTTTCTCCAGGCTGAATATTAGAAACACTTAACCAGTGTAATGCATAACAAGACCATAAAGGACTTGAATCAACACATCTCTGAAATAGATTTATTGCAGGGCTGTTAGTGCATCCGTTAGCTTGGGCGTACCTAGCAACGTGACAGCTCAGTGTGCATTGTTTATAGCTTATATACAGTGAGTCTGAATTTAGTCTCAAGACTTTTTGTAGTTTACCCGACATGAAAAGCGTTTGCCCAGACTTCCCTTTTCGACACTTGCTGCAACTGAGGGTGATTGGGTAAACAATGGTTGTAATGTCCCTTCACTTAAAAGCAAAAACAAATACTTTACAGTGGTTTCTTTTTTGTCACGGGATGTAACTTTAATCCTACAGCTTTAAAAAAAAAAAAAAAAAAAAAAAATTTGATTGTTTATTTGATTTCAACGTCCCCATGAAAAAGGCTGCATTTACTGCCGAATGTGTAAAAATGAAAGTCAACACTGTTTGTCTGGGGTTGTGGTTGTCGTGGTTTATGTTACACACATAACAAGTAGACTCATTTTGGTGCAGTTTGGTGTAACCTCATACTTGAAAGAGTGTAACATGAGCCTTGTGCTGTCTGGTTGGCCCAGCTCGGTCACAGGACTGATTCCTTTTTTCACTTCATCAAAACAAACATGCACTGAATCCTTCCAGATGAAGACCATAATTGTTCAGTAAGACTAACTAGGACCACAGTACTCCTGGTCTTGTAATTCTTAACTGTACAAGGACAGTATGCATTTATTAAAGGAAATGCTCTTCCTTTTTTTACCATAACATTTCTTAAAGGGAAGCATTAATGTATTTATGCAGGACTCTTGTCAAATATTCAAACACAGAACAGATCCTAACACACAGGGAGGATGAACCAACAGCCTTGCTCTCGGTGGGAGTCAGTGTTTTGTTTGATAGTGTTTACAAAAGGCTTAGCAGATGGGACCGTAGGACCGAGTGAGGCCTTTTTGGAAGAGCCTCATGCATTATGTTTATCTTACGCATTCACTCCGGAGCTAAACCAGGCAGGAGAATAGTCAGACCACTGAGAACCTCCTGATGACAAAAACATGTTTGAATTCATCATTGTTTGGACTGCGGTATCTTGAGTGCACCCACTCCGTCTGTACTAAATGTAGATATGATTAAAATTAGCACTTGGGCTTATTTCAGGAAGCTGTGTTGATTTTTAGTATAGACTAATCCCCTGAGAGTTGATCCCTTGAAGTGTTCACTGAACTTTCCCATGTTTTCTTTTGTGATCACATGTCAAGGTGAAGGGTAATGAAGAACGAAAGATCAACATGTTGAAGTCCAATGTACTGAATATTCCATTGGTTGACTCCTGCAGCCAATCAATGTTATCACCCCCCCCCATTACTCATTCACAACAACAAGCACACGCAGCAACGATTGTACCGTACAGGCGTACATGTGACTGACTGTGCAAGAACGTCATGCTGTACTGCTTGGTTTTTTTTCCTGAGCTTGTACTCTTATCAGGGAAAAAACATTGCATAGCCGTTCACAGGAATTAGCTGTCCCTTATCAGCCATGCACCGCCACTTTAACGAGGCCTTCCCATTGGCTGAACCCTTTTGTGTCCTGTCAGCTGACTGGATGAGCACAAGTGTATATCCTGCAAAGAATAGCCCCAGAAGAAAGATGACAAAGTTTATGACAACATTGCACAATCGCCGTTGGCGGTGTCCTGGTATTTACCCCTGGGATGGTTATTTCAACGTGATTAGGTGGGCCATATTTGAGATTGGATTCAGGATGGCAGGGAAGCATTATCGTCCCAATCTGTGGGCGGAAAAAAATGCTCCCTTAGGTGGGTAAAGTAAGAGCTGGTGCTCCACTAACAGTGATGAAGAGACAGAGATCCTGGGGGGACTGGGACCTCCTGGGAAGCAACACAGAGGACAACACAGACAACAGTGAACAGGATGAGTCCTCGTCTCTGAGGTCGTCTTGGTCCCTGGTGAGTCAGTGCTGACAGGTCTCTTATTTAGTCTCAGCTTGGGCCTGATGCTGGAGGACCTACTACACTGTTCGTCATCATGTATTGTTTGGTTTGGCAGGTTGCTTGGCTTATTGGTTTTGTTGTGTGGCCAAGCTTAGTGGCTTGATACCTGGCCACAGTGAATCAGATGGGTGATGTCAGTTTTGGGGCTGCAGTCAGAACTAGTGTTTTTTTTTTTTTTTTTTAGGGATATGTTAGACTGTGAAAGAAGAGGGTGATACTGAAATAGTGTTTGTATTTGAGATGTTCAGAAATATTCAGGCTTAGTCCTGAAGCACAAATCACCTGTCAGCTAGTCATTTCTTAACCAAAATACTAAGCTTGTCCAGCTTCATTTGGTCTGGCGATATAAGCTACTAGTTGTGTGTATTAATACTTCTGAGTTGACATTGAAAGAAGACAATGGGCTGCAGCAGGTGAAGCATATCAGTCACACGTGACTGTGTTCTAGATAACTGAATACTGCTACCTTTCCAAAGAGCTCCGGTTTTGATGTTGACTATTCCCTAGGGCTGGGCGATATGGCTTAAAAATAAAATCTCCGATTTTTTCACACCAAACCCGTTTTACGATTTTAATCGTGTTTTTTTTTGTTTTTTTTTTGTAGACTGTTTTTAGCGGGTGTTTGTGGGCTGCGGTCCTGTTTATCTCGCAGAGAGCAACATTTCTCCCACTCGGCTGCATGCCTCTGCTTGAGGTGCTGGAATAAATTGGTCGTACTGCTACCTTTGGTTGCAACAGCTTTCAAACAAACTTTGCAGTGGGTCGTGGTTTGTTCACTGTCGGACGCCACAAAATCAAACCAGTTCCAAACAACCAACGACACTGAGCCTTTTTTGGGTTAGTTTGCTTGCTGCCATGTTGTGTGTATCTGTGGACAGGCGGGGGCAGGGGTCAGCGCACTCTGACCTATGGGAGCCCAAAGAGAGCGCCGGTGTTGTGGAAGTTTAAGAGAAAACCGATTTTAACTAAAAATAAATGTTTAACTACAAATTCGAATTAATCAATAAAATCGACTTATCGCCCAGCCCTACTATTCCCTATCATATAACGATCTTCATAGATGTTTTATGTGTCTGCTTTCTGCGCTTTGAATCTGACATTCAGTGGTGTCAAAATAAAAGTGAAAGTTAATTAATGCTCCACATCTATACCATGTCTTATCTAGGTGACGTTAACAAGACCATTTTTAGTTTCCAGAGATACTGAAAATCCAGGTTAATGTACAAACATACATAGAATTGACAAACAATATGCCATATGGACATTTTACCCCCGACAAAGGCACAGTGAAATTGTATTGCTGCTAAGCTGTGTTGCTTTTTTATTCTCCAGACCATGTTTGAGTTCACTGGCCCTCTATGTATTACAGTTTTCAAGTGCTTGGTTGATGTCAATTGAGTGTACTTGAGTCTTGATAAATTATGGATCTGGTTTAATCTAGCTGTCTATTTGTTGTAGACTAAAACACAAATCCATTTAAAATGTTCACTCACTTGAGTTTACAATGCTGAAAATGGTAATAATCACACTGCCTTTGTTTTAGGATGACCTCTGTAGTGATTATGAAGATGTGGTTTTCTAGCTATGATAGTTTGTTTTCCAGATATTCAAATGGTCCACTGACCAGATTGCTCAGCTTTCATTATGAATTTTAAGTTTCATTAGAATAAAATCTTCAGGGGCAGCTGAAGGATCACTTGGTAATATGTATATTAAATATTCCAGCTTTTTAATAACACATCTTTTATAGAACTTCCTTTTGCCATACAAGCAGATGTAGTAAAATTAACTTTAGTATAATAGATTCCATTGTATAGCAACCTTTTTTGAGTTTGGCTCTAACATGGGCATGAGTTGTATTTTTCTATCGTCCTTTTCTACAATTCTGGGGTGAAGCTCTTAGAAAGAATTGAGAGCTTCCTGTTGTTGACAGAAGGCCTCACATCAAGTCACCTTAACCCCTGTGCAATAGTTGGAACAGTCAACACTGATGACTGTTTTATTTAATGGCGGTTGCCTCTCTGTGTGTCGAAATGATTCTGTTTAGTCTGAATATTTTCATATTTGATTGCTTTTTCTTCAATAGCTTACTCTCTCTGGTAATCATGCCAGTTTCCCATATTCCATGATGCCACCATTGCATAAATGCCCCTATTCTCTTACCCCCCCGCCCCCCTCAGTCACTGCTCTCATAGCTAGAATCCGAACAAAAGGTCAGTGTGAGATAGGAGCATTTCAGTTGAAACCCAATGAAGTCAACAGTGGAACGTATTTACAAGCCCCACTAAACTAGACCCTGACCCAAGCAAACCAAAATTATGTTTGCTAAGTTAATAGTTGAATGCACTTTGTGTCATGGTGACCAAATGGCTGCAAATAATCTAGTTCAGTAAAGGAGCCACAGGAAGGTCTGATAGTTTGTGTGATTATGTACTATTAGCCCAGCCCTGCGAGTAATTTTCTCTCTGATTTAGTAGCTTCAACAGATTGCTCGTAAAAGCCTATAAAAGTCAAACAGCATCTCCCTAGTGACAAAAAATGCTTCGAGAAAATGTTTAAGTCCATATAATTATAGCCACAGAACTATGCCTATTCATATTGTATTTGATATACTTAGCAGGGAGTTATGAATGTAAACAGGAAGTCAGTTGCTTCCATGGCAGCAGTGGGAACTCTGTGTGAGGTTGTCTCTTCTCATTGTTTCAGCCCAGCCATCAGCCCCCCCCTTCTCTGATGTTGTTCATGTGGGACAGCGGCCAGTGACAGGATAACAGTGGCACTCTGGCCGTCTGTATGCAGGTCAGGAGATAACAGACACCACAGGGCAGGCAGAGAGGGAGCTGAGAGATGAAAGAGAATGAGACAGCACGACTGTCCAGAAGAAGATACTTAAAAGAAGAAACAACAGTGGATAGACTGAGAGCGCACTATTAGACTCTGCGCTGTGTGTGTGTCCTCTTCTGGACTCTTGCTGAACAATACACCCTCATCCTGTCTTTGCCTTGACTCAGCAAATATTTTGTGCTTCCCCCCCCTCTAGGCGGACACTATGAACTACGTGGGCCAGCTGGCAGGTCAGGTGCTGGTAACCGTCAAAGAACTGTACAAGGGAATTAATCAGGCCACGCTATCGGGCTGCATCGATGTTGTGGTCGTCCGCCAGAGAGATGGCAGCTACCAGTGCTCACCATTCCACGTACGCTTCGGCAAACTCGGTGTACTGCGCTCCAAAGAGAAAGTGGTAAGTTTTAAGAAGTGTGCGCGAGCTACAGAATGTTTTGTTTCCCCCTTTGAAGAAGCAGACCCTATCTCTCACTATGTGTACTTTAGTTAATATTTTGATATATTGCCGCAGTTTAATAAGTCTTCAAGACAATTTAAACATGAACCTGAGCAGTTAACATCACATTAACTAAAAAACATTAACATTTAATTATATTTACAGAGGTTTTGTTTGAAGTTTTGCTTTCTGTTATGTTCATAAGTTGCAGAAAACCGTGCACAATTCATGGTTTGGGTCATCTGTCTACCTCACTGAATATAAGGGTTGGGTGATATGTTAAAACATTTCCAATCGGCCACCTTCATCGATTGCCGATATATTTGTATGCTGTGCGAATGCCCCCTGACACCCCCTGATCACCACCCCAGTAGTTTCAGCTGAGATGAGCGGCGAGTTCACTACGTGTGACAAGCTCTCACAACTTTGATAAAGAAAATAAACTCACCAAATATCAAGAAAGGAAAGGAGAAACAACTATTTTCTGCATTAAACAGAAAATACAACCATACACCCTCTAAATTAAAGTTTCTCTCTTATACCGAACTAACCCCTTGTTAGCAATTTTAAAACACACTTCATTCAACCTGACGGAAACAAAATAAAACTGACCAAACCATCTTTATTGATCTTTACACTGTTGTGCAATCACTAACTCTGGTGTCTAACCATCTAACAGAGTTAGACCTGAAAATATTATTCCTCTACCTGCTTTGTGCCTCTCCTCTCCTTGCCTGTCTCTTTCCTGTCCTGGGCTGTCCCTGCTGTGTCCCCATCTTACCCAGAGTTAGTGTTGTTTGGAGCCTCTGCAAATCACCTTGTAACTATATTCCCTGTCGACAAACTAGTTGAACTAAACCCTTAAATCACTGTAGTTAGATGTGAAAATACACTGGATCTGCAGTTGCTCAGTACTGTGCCACTGAACGTTTGTCACTGAGTATTAAATTAGCAAAATAAAATTACAATCACCCAACAAATTGCAAAAAAAAATACTGCTGATGGACTGAGCCAATCGCAGATAGCCAATATATCTGTCCAATCGCTCAACCCTAATGAATATAGGCTGCCCCATTTACCAGTCAAGTTACCCATTCGGATGTATGGGATTTCAGCCAGAATTAATGGTTTCAATGGAGCATCTTTTGAATCATTCAACGAAATGTTTGGTTATGTTTGCAGAACAGATGGCATGTTCTGGGCTTTTCTCCCTCATTGATAGTAGTTGTTACTATATATTCTTGCCTGGAGAGACGATCTAATTAATCATGGTTCAGGAACAATGATGCTAATTTTAGCACTCACTTCTCCCTTGAGATAATAGCATTTCTGTAGCACCTTTGCGATGGCCTAATTGATGGGTAGGGGGAGCTAAGGCTGTTTCTATAGTAGTTTTGATGTAGGTAAATGGGAGCACTAAATATTATGTATTTTAAAAATAGCAGGTCTACTTTAAGGATTGTAATAGAAACCTGTTTTAGCATCAGTTAACATAAGCTTTCCTGTAAGGGAAACTTGGGTTACCCGAGGTTATCAGCCTATATAAATAATATTCTTTAGCATCAATTAGTGATGGCTAAAATAAAAAAAAAATTTCCCCACCACCATTATTAATGGTGAACTTGTCCGTGGCATCTATTATTAGAACAGTATTGGTGTGCTCTGACTTGAAAAAAGCTTATTTCCCTGCTTGTGGACCAGAGTGGGTGATGATTTCCAGGGGGTTTGACACCGTCTCACCACCTACCCAGAATGCTGATGGGCTCGGAGAGGGGACTGAATGAGTGGTTCCTATGGCAACAGCTCTACAACTTGAATGTGTGGGAGGGGGAGGAAACGTGAAGAAGAAGAAGGCCTCCACAACAAGGGCTGTTGTGTAACAAACAGTTATGCATGTGTCCCTGAGTTCAGATCAGATTCCTCGAGGGCTGCTGCTAAATATATATATATTTTTAGAAGTTACCAACAAAATTGTCTTCCTGACATGCACATATTTTTAAAAATTCAGAGTGGGAATCAAACTGGAGTTGCCAGCCAAATACTAATTACATTCTGGCTGTGGATAGTGTATCTGTCCCCATACATTAGTCACTTTAGTTGGCAACCACAAATGTTTTTAAAGTACTGTTTGACTCGAAAAATATTTCGGTTTATAACTAAACTCAGCTATGCATAAATAGTTCCTCTTTTATTCCCTTTTCTGGTGAGAACTAAGCATGAGCCTCAAAAGTCACATTGGCTAGTGCTGTCAGAGAGAAACAACCCAATATTATGCTTTAATTTTGAGGCATCTGCAGGCATTGCCTCCACTAATTCCAGTAATCCAGCATGGTGTTGGCAAATCCACAACTCAGCCACTCAAGTGACCTGTCGCCAACAGTGAAAGGTTGAAGAGGACCCTCATTTATTCTGGCTCATTATTAATTGGGCATTGAAATTCCCAGCCATCAATCGCCATACTGAAATTTCCCTCAGCAACCCTGAGCGGAGTGAAATTAAATCTTGAGGCTGCTGAGAAACCACACCGGCAGTAAAGGACAGAAGCAAAAGGAAAGATAAAACATGACAGTCCACAAGAGTTGTACAAAACAGATGATGTTGGTTTGAGAATTAATATTGATGATTTGGTTTCAGGTTGTCAGACTGGGCAGACTGCTGCCCTCTCTGTAGTCTCTGCCAGACGTGACCTGGTTTTTGCTTTTGTGGTGTCAAGTTTCTGAATGGCCTCGGGTCTACTGGGGGTTTAGCTGGCAAACATGAATGGCCCTGTTTCATTGGCAGGCTCCACACAATGCGAGCCCCGTAGGAGCCATACACTTATTAGGTTTTTGCACAGCCCCGGGAGAAAGATGGGGCTCTAAGTAGCTACAGTCGCTCTGTGCAGCACATGTCAGAAGTATAACAAGACCTAATTTACTTTAAAATCAATTAAAAAGGCATCGTCACATTTATATGGATTAATACATACACATGCTGATAAGGATTTTGATTTCTTCATAAAAAGGTACTTTAAAATGACTGTACTATTACATTGCTTGTAATTCTTCCAGATCGACATTGAAGTGAATGGAGAACCTGTAGACCTGCACATGAAGCTTGGTGACAATGGAGAGGCCTTTTTTGTTCAGGAATCTGAGCAGCAGAATGTAAGCACCCAATTCACTACAAATATTAATAAAGCTAAAGTGAGATATTGAATGGACAGTTTCCAGGTTTCTAATTTGTTGTGTTGCTTGTGAAGCAAAGACTCAAAACCTTTTTTAGAATGAGATAAGTTTGTGTTTCAGCGTAGTAGCCAATGTCATCCTTCACAAATATATTTTTTATTCAAAGAAATCTTTCAGTGATTCAGTGCAGTGTTTTTGTACACACTACACCAGAAAGATGGTGTCTCATGACCACTTAACCCAACAACAGTTATTAACGCCTACAACAGTCCTAAAGTACATGTGTTGGGCAATGTTTGTGTGAAGAAATTACTCCACTGTTATGCAGTTGTTAAATTTTTCTGGTGCAATTAGGGTCAATTGCTCAAGCTTTCAGATTTTTTTCTTTGTGACCACAGGTCTGTTCTGGACTTGAGTCATAAGCTTCACAGTTGGGCTCATTAAACATGTCTTAATCCTTAAGTTCCTACACTCTCACTTGATCCTTTTAGCAGATTGTCCCTGCCCACCTGGCCACCTCCCCAATCCCCACCGAGAGTCACCTGTTCTGGATCTCAGAGGTTGAGCACAGGGCAGCAAAAGATCTGGAGGATGACCCTGCTGACCCAGAAGACCCACCCGAGCCTCCTGCTCCCAGCACCATGGCCACAAAAAAGAAGAAGAAACGGAGGAAGAAGCACAAAGGAGACCCCCGAAGAGAGGAGCTGACCCCGCCCATGTCAGTCACCACTGGTAATACTATTGCTGCTAACGCACCTGCTGCTACGACCGCTGCTATGTCCAGCACTGGGCAAAATGAAGAGATCTTTGAGATGGACCTGAGCTCTGATGAGGAAGTTGCATCACGTGTCTCAAGGTAGGTTCAGAGTCAGTGATCGCTGCTGTAGCTAAGATCTGTTTAAATAGAACTGTGTTAATTTATCTGATTAATTTATGTTTCATCCTGGATTTAGGTCACCTTCAGTGACCACAATGCGAGACATTGACCCCAAATTACCCGCAGCCAGACACAGTCTGGATGGTTATCCACTGTCTGATGGGGACTGGCCGGCAGATGACAGGTATGTATTGACATGAACATAGAGCAACTGGCGAGAGCGTAAAAGAGATAACTAAACAGACTGTTTGCATTTGTTTATCTTTCCCTTTAGTCATGGCTTGTCTCAGGCCTTTTCCCCAAAGAGTGACTCTGAACTGATGGTCAGGCCCTCAGAGAGTTTGCTTAGAGCTGAGTCCCACATGCAGTGGACCTGGGGAGAGTTTCCAGAAACAACCAGGGTAAAAACTTCTCTCCACTTCAACTGGTATACATTATTTTCTGTATGCTCTTGTTTTAATAACTTTTGTTTTCCCTGATATCCAATATCCAGGTCACCAAAAAAGAGAGACCAGAACTACTAAAAACAGTGACCATCACCCCATCAGAGAGCACCCACTTCCGCGTCATCCTCAGCTCTGAGGCCATGGAGAATGAGACTGATATTGAAAAGGAAGATGGTGCTTCCTGCTCAGTGTGTACCATTGTCAAGCCCGAGCCACGCACCCCTATCACCACTGTAACACCTATAAATCCTCTCGCATCTGTCAGCCCTATAACCTCTGTGAGCCCCATAACCCCCACAGAGCCCCTGGATGTCCTGCCATCCAACGTGGCAACCTCCACCCCTTCCAACAGCCAACTGAGTGATTCACCCTCGAAGAAGAAAGGTACGTTTATATATTGCCACTTTTTCAGCCATCTCCTGGTTAGCACTAGTTATGATTGTGCATTAACTCATACATGATTCTATTGTTGAATGAAGGTGTCCCAAAGAGGAGCCAGCATCAGGGTCCTGAGGATATCTACCTAGATGACCTGAATGTACTTGAACCTGATGTTGCTGCACGGTATTTTCCTAAGAGGTTAGTTATGAAAGAGTCACCTAATTAATGCTACTGCTTGACCTGTTTTAAATAGAAATGGAAAGCTAAATGTGGTCTAGTTTAAAAATAAGCATAGCAAAAATATTCTTCTCCTAAAATAACACTGAAAGCCTTAAGGACCAGTATTTTGACATAGTTTTCTCTTTTGTTTCTTCCAGTGAGTCTGAGGCGGCGACTAAGCACTGGATGGACTCAGAGATGCCCTCTGGTTCACAGTCTCCACAGTCGGTGGGTAGTGCAGCGGCTGACAGCGGGACAGAGTGTCTGTCTGACTCAGCAAGTGACCTCCCCGACGTCACTCTTTCTCTGTGTGGAGGCCTCACAGAAAATGCTGAAATATCCAAAGGTACACCAGAATGGCACTCATAAAAAATGTACACGAAAGTACACTTAGTACTTCTGTGCAGGACAGGAAGTTAACCTCAGCCAATAGACTTCCTTATATATTCAGCTCTGTGCGTTTAACAGTAACAATGCCTGCACCCACATTTCCTTTTAAGGAAACATGTTATTTTACTGGGGATGAATCCCAGTACTTTCTGTCTTGTTTTTCAACCACTCTGTCTTTCTCTCTGATCTTCATATGCATCTGTAAATTAAATATATATATATATATATATATATATATATATATATATATATATATACATACATACATACATACATACATACATACATACATACATACATATACACCCTTCTGGAAGTGTTTGGCACAGCTTCTGTGGCTGATGGAAGAAAAAGTTTCCTGACCTTTCTGTGTGGCTTTAAGTAAGATGTTATGTCTCACCACCACTGACCTTTTCATCTGCTGTCTTTAATTAATGTTCCTCTCCCTCCTGTGTTTGCAGAAAGGTTCATGGAGCATATCATCACCTATCATGAATTTGCTGAAAACCCGGCAATTATAGATAACCCTAACCTTGTAGTGAAGATAGGAAATAGGTAAGTAAAGCATTTTTATTTCACAAGTGTGGAAGAGATATATTAAGTATATGGTTAATATGGTCTCTGAACTAATGTCTGTGTTCTCAGGTATTATAATTGGACACTAGCTGCACCCTTGATTCTAAGTCTACAAGCATTTCAGAAGAATTTACCAAAGGTAACTGATCTTGGTTTTCTGTTCTGTGTTGTCAGTAATGTTGGATCATCTTAAATTGGCAACATGCTCATTAATTGTTTTTGTATTCTTGTTTTTCTAGGCTACAGAGGAGGCCTGGATGAAGGAGAAAATGCCAAAGAAGTCAGGCCGCTGGTGGTTCTGGCGAAAAAGGGCGGATAGTACAATCAAGCAGGTGTGCACATGTTATTATATTAATGCAACTCCCATATTTACATCCTTTTGTTTTTATACTTACTTTATATGTTCGGATATTTTCTCTTTATTCTTCTAGTCGGAGACTAAGCTTGAAACTAAGGAGGACTCTCATCTGGAGGAGGAAGGACCCTCCATATCTCAGGAGAAACTGTCCTTGCCGTAAGTGGTAGCAGGATTTTATTGATACTGAAGACACAAGTCAAGTCAAATGAGTTCAGTGACACGTTGAACTCTAGCATGGCATCGTAAAAAACTAATCCACAGCTTCATAAAACCAGACAGATAATGTCGACAAACAAAGGTGTCTCGGCAGGGTCATCAGATGCTGAGTATTTTAAGTCAAATTTAATTTAATGTATTTAATCAGCTTTAAGCCTTAAACAGTTTAGAAGTTGCACAAATAATTGAATGGGGACGGAAAAATAAAGAAACATATACAACCACAACTGTACAAAGGTCACAGCCAAGTAATCTATGTATATACAGTAAAAAGACAATAATTGTTTATTTTCCTTTTTTAGGCCTAAAGCAGGAGACTCATCCAGTGACGAAGAGGCCAAGGAGGTGAGTGCTGCATCCTGTCAGGAGAGACTGCAGCCAGTAGATGGTCAGCACCACCCCAGCCCACATACTTACAGGAAGTCACTACGCCTCTCCTCTGATCAGATAGTAAGTGCATTCTTAGAAATGTTTTCCTTCCTCAAAATCTTCCTGCCGACTTCTTTCAAAATATAGCATTCTCCTGCCCAATAACTTTTATAATATTATTAGAATACAGTTTAATATTCAAATAAAAATTATAAGAATAGATTATTGGTCCGATTACAAACAGTGTAGGGTACTCAATGAGATTTGTACTTGAAAGGGTTTATTTTGTAGTGTAGAGCTCCCTCTGCTGGCTATCTAGGAACTGCATAGTGTTTGCTCCACTCAAAGTCTGTAGGGGGCTCTAAAGACCTGCACATGTTGTACTGTGGCAAAACAAACCATACTGGAGAGTAATGCCCACACTGTTGGAGCACATGTTGGTGAATGGAATTGTTTGTGCCTCCAGATGCCTTCACTCTTTTCCTTGTGTTACCAGGCCAGTCTGAAACTGAAGGAGGGACCTAATGATGTGACGTTTAGCATCACCACCCAGTACCAGGGCACATGCCGCTGCGAGGGCACCATCTACCTGTGGAACTGGGACGACAAAGTCATTATCTCTGACATTGATGGTACCATCACCAAGTACGTGCCTCCAATTCACACATGAATGTACGCTGTAATTTGTGGTAAACTAGGTTTTAGTGGAATTAGGGAAAAACTCTTCTAACGTCTACAACTATACAGACTGTGTCTAGTTCTCCACCAGTGCATGGGAGTCTGTTCTGATGTATTTTCTTAGGTTGCATATCATATGAGCTTGTACATACTCATAATATATTATTAATAAATAGCAAATATTGATTAGATATGTACATTAAGGTAAACAAGCACCCTGGTGGTCATAATGTTATGCAGCCCCATACGCAACAAACTGCGATGCACTGTGTTCTGATACCTATCTATCAGAGCCAGCATTAACTTTTTCAGCAATGTGTGTATTGAATATAATATTTATAGGTATGTATAATGACCTGAAAATTAAGAATCTTTGGGTTTTCGGTCCTTTAGAATGAGCTGTTTTTATCTACAGAGGGAGCAGACCCTCTTCACAGAGTCTGCCATGTTGAACTGCCATATTTCTACATTAGACCACAATAGATAAACCAGACACCGCTTTCAGATGGGGCTTTTTACATTTTTCGCGAGTTAAGCAGCCATTGTATTTTCTCCTACATCTGCAGCCTTACCACTAAATGCCACTAAATCCTACACAAAGATACTTTAAGTCCAAAATCCAGTTTTGTTTATGTTAAGCTTTTTAATTAGCTTAAAGCTAGCTCCATCTCTTTTGACAAAATCCGGATGTCTGCTGCTTTCCTGACGCCTACTCTTAGGTTCATAGGTGGTCAACATCAAACTGGAGCTTATTATCTCTGTGACCCTTAAGGCCAACCTGTGACATGTGGCTTTCTTTGAGTAACGGGGACTATAATGAGCCCATTTACATTCAGCCATAAACTGAGGTTGAGACAGTGCCTCCCCTATGGGCTAGTAATCCTCATTAGTGGAGAACAGTCCATAATGTTTCCTTTTTATGATGAAATGGTAAAGTAGTTGTGGTGCTTTATGTGACCTTCTTTAAGCCGTCTGTACTACCGATCTGCTTTATTTTCTTTCGGGCACATTTTTTCTCTTACTCTACATCTGCTAGGTTTTTGTAGCCAGTGTCACAGTGATGTACTTGGCAGATGGGGATATCTCTTGTCTTTATGTCACTAATGTTTTGTATGTGTTTAACGTTTTAGGTCGGATGTGTTTGGACAAATCCTGCCACAGTTGGGGAAGGACTGGACCCACCAGGGCATTGCCAAGCTCTACCACTCAGTAGCTGAGTAAGTGCACAACAACACTGATTAATCTGATGATTGGTCAGTAGTTAGCACTGTCTGGGTTTGATTCCCAGTTCTCTCTCTGTGGAGTTGATATTTTCTCCCAGTGTTTGCGTGGGGTGCTTTGAGGTGGATGACTCAACTATAATCAAAAACACCATGAGACTGTGTCAGTGTTTGGCCACTTTCTTATTATATTTCCTTTTTGTTAGTTTGAAAACTTTAATCTTGACCTGTCTTTTGTGCTTTGGTCATGCAGAGAATAGAAAATGTAATACACATAGGAGGAAATGGGCTATAGTGACCATTAGCAGTAATAATGAATATAATCTTTCCTCAGTAAAATTTTCATTGAATTGGTATGACTTCTGCGCATTATGAAAGCAATTAATTTAACTGATCTAATTAAAGTGCTATTCTTAGTAGTTACTAATGATGGTCATAACATTTAACTGTATTGGAACAACCATTAATGAGCCCCACTCTCCCCATTGGCAGGAACGGCTACAAGTTCTTGTACTGCTCAGCAAGGGCTATTGGAATGGCGGACATGACAAGAGGTTACCTGCAGTGGGTCAATGATGGAGGCACCATTCTCCCCCGGGGACCTCTCATGCTGTCTCCCAGCAGCCTCTTCTCAGCCTTCCACAGGTACAGTAATATACATTATAAATGGCTACAGTTTTCAGTATCATAAAGCCAAGTACTTCTTATTCCCAAAGTCGTATACATGAAATCCTCCTTATCACCAAAGGTTAATTCTGATTTCAAACCAACCCCATATTTGTCTTCCTTCAAACTGTAATCTATTTTGTCTGCAAACTTAATTTCTCATTAAATATCCACAGATTTCTCTGTTTTCAAATCCTCTCCAAATCCTCCTTCATTGTAATTAACCTTTCATATGCTAGGGTTGTTAAAACTGCAGAAAACTCGTACCATATCCTCCGGAATAGGAATAGTTTACACAGTCAGTTCTGAACACTGGTGAATTATTTCTTTTTTTGGGGGAAAACCTTCAAGGCGTCGCCTTCGATGTGTGATTAATATGTTTATTTATTACCTAGGTAGACTTAAGAGAATGGCAATTGATATCTGTATCATTGAGCTGTGGAAGAAATATTACAGGCAAAGATTGTCATTTGTCTACATTCTGACCATAAAGAATTTAAGCGACGCTGACATACGGTTTTTGTATTTATTGCACAATTGAGCTGAGAATTGATGCTAAAATAATTGGTCTTGGGTAACAAGATTTACCATAGTAGATGTAACTGATCCATAGTTAGTCTTTTATAGAGTTCTGCAACAGTTCATGTCAAGTAAATGAACAACTATAAAACTACATATATTGTTAGATCTGTAGCTTTCCGATGACATAAATGTCAGTGGCTCGTTGGCATTGGGTAAATCATTGTTCTCATCTCCTACCCTCTCGCTTAAATGCTGTATGCACACAACATTCAAACAGCAAAAAAACAAGCCTTATCATGCTTTATAGGCTCATTATCAAAGTCCTGCACGTAGCATGGCCACTGTTTTTTCTCAGTTTTACCTGTGCTCTGTCAAAGGCTAGCACAAACCTTTAGTTACTAGATTAGTTGAGATGTTGCTCTGTTGTATTTTCGTCTTAATCATTCATCGGCAATGGGATTTCTTTCTGTGACCTTTACTTTGTACATCATGGTTAATATGCAACCATAGCAACCAACAGCATGGATTTTTGTGAGATGCCTTAAAGTTGAAACATTTGCATTATTTACATGGCTCTCTTGATGTAATTTGCATATAACAGAAACATCCCTACCATCCCCACATTTGGACTATTTGGACCAAACTGCATTTTTTTTAGATGCTTAGCACAGTATATCACATATACCCCTACTGTTCTGTGTGTACAGGGGGAAAACAACTCAAATCGAAACTAAAAAGATTAAAAGAAAGAATATTGAGACAAAGTAACCATGTATTTGGCCAACTCAAATTATGACTTGACCCATGTTAAGAACATGCATATGTGTGTAATTCTAATCAAACTGCCTGTTTGCTTTAGGGAGGTCATTGAGAAGAAACCAGAGATCTTCAAGATTGAATGCCTTACAGATATCAAGAACCTGTTCCAGCATAACAAGCAGCCATTCTACGCCGCCTTTGGGAATAGGACTAATGTGAGTTAATGGGCGTTTGAACATGTCAGACATTAAAGCGCTCATTTTTCTGTGAGAGAGCTGTGTTTTCCAGAAGTCGATGCAGTCATGATGCTTTGTGAGATCGGTATGACACTTTGGCTATCAATTAGCAGACACAAACATATGAAATCAGTACTGGGCTGAACTTAAGCTGAGGTCACTGGCGGAGTACGGTCCCATGTGACATCGTCTGTGGAAGGGAGCTCAAGCTGGGCACAGCAGCCGATCTTCAGCTGCATAAACACCAACACCCAGATGAAGCACTGTGTCAGCTTTCAGTCCTCTGTCTGTCTCTAATGCTCGCCAAAGAAAAGAAAACAAAAAAATAACATACACAAACACACGCAGTCTTGCATTTGCCCACCAAAACATTTAGTCTAGAAATGTTACCATTACGTGCATTAGGTGGAACACAAACAGGAAATTTGTGGTTAATGTCATTAATGTGCTTATGTCAGTTTGTACCAGTGTGTGTTGTGTATGAGAGCTACTTTCTGAATATTACATAATCAAGAGTGTTTTCAAATGGCTTTTAAAGGCCCAGTCTCTAAATTTTAACCAAATACATTTAAGTTGTATTCACAAACTTTTACCTAAGATGATTTTTAAATTTTTTTTTAGTTTTGCATTCATAATTGAAAACAATAGCCTGTGTTTTGCATATAAACATTAACATCTGAAAACTTCAATGTAGGAGTGTTGCATATCCTGTGTTTTACATTTCAGTTGCACTCATTTTGTTTACATTCGCATCACGGATTGACTTTAACCATTTGTCTTCACACAGGATGTGTTTGCCTATAAGGAGGTGGGGGTTCCAGTGTGTAGGATCTTCACAGTCAACCCCAAGGGAGAGCTGATCCAGGAGCAGACCAAGGGAAACAAGTCCTCGTAAGTATATTAACGGACTGGTTCTGTCCGTCTCACTGTAAAGATTACCAATAGTAAGGATAAGACATTGGTCCAATCAGAATTTATACTACAAGTGGGGATAATATCTGATAGAAAACTCAAGAGATAAAAATATTAGCTTAAAGGGATCAATATTTTTATGATCTACTACAATAGATTGAAATGTTCAGTCATAGTGAGGTACCTACAGACATTTGTCATGTGGCTCATTTGGAGCTTGTTAGCGTCTTTAAGGTCATTGTTTTGGTTTTACAGCCCCCAACTTTTGTTTTGGTTTACTCTCAGACAAAGTTAGCGGCTAGCTGTTGAATACATTGGAGCATGTCTCAGCTAAAGAGTTAGGTATTTCCCTCAGGAGTTGGTGGAGGACAAAACGGAGCTAAAAGGAGAGTGAATATTGGACTTTAATCTGTCTCCTGGCCACAAACAGAATCTAAAATAAATGTTAATGTTGCTGAGTGCTGACCTTGTCTCTTTCTCCACAGTTACGGCAGGCTCAGTGAGCTGGTGGAGCATGTGTTCCCTCTGTTGAGTAAAGAGCAGAACGAGGCCTTTGTTATGCCAGAGTACAGTTCTTTCTGTTACTGGAGACAGCCCATACCAGTCATCAACCCCGATGAAATGCTCTGATCCAACACATGGACAAGGACACCCAGGTATTCATATACATGCAATTGGACTGTGCACTTGAATGCGTCTCCAGGAAACACATGGACTGAAACTCAAACTTTCCTATACAGACAGGCATCCTCTCAAATCTACAATGAGTGTGAAACAGTAACAGGGTTATGACCATAAACACAAAAAAGCTCGTAAACTGTAATTACCCATTAGACATGAGTGGGAGTTATCTTCTGAACAGTAAATCCTGGTGAATAATCCCTGAAAAATGTCATCCCAGAGAGACAAGAGACTAATCACCAACTAGATTGTCATCATTCCTCATCCTAACCCAATGACCAGTCTTTAGTCCCCATCACTGTCCGGGGATAAAGATCTGAGACCATCTTTTCTTTCTGAAACTTCCAGCAAACAGGACGATCTGCATTTGTCATCAGGGAAGCGACTGAAGCAAAGACACGAGGCATTAGCCCTCAGCACTAGAGTCTGAGCCGTGCAGAAGGAAATGACATTGACTTTTTTTTCCCCGTCACCTTTAAAAATGATTCTGAAAGCCCTGAAGAAGTTAAATTAAACGTTCCTAGGGGGGGCACACTGTTAATTAAAACAGGATAGGCAATTAACACTGGCCGCTGCTCATGGGCTGGTAATATTTTGCTGTGGCTACTATGTTTGCCTATACGCAGGTGTCCAGCCTTTATCTGGAGGCTGTATTCTGTTCTAAAACATCAAGTAATATAGTGATAGTGACCAATAACTGCTACACCACCTACGAACCATACACAGTGGTTAGTTGAAAGCTACTGTAGGTGTTCAGTATTGTCCCTGACTCTCTCGACTGTGGTCATTGGTTCACTGCTGGTGGAACAGATTTCAGATTGCCACCTTTTCCCTGGAGAGCTTACGGCGTTCGTACCGAATGAGTCATATTTGGTATTGTTAATGTTGAAGGTCAACCAGGGACATACTATTGCCAACATGTATGTGAAGATACACACTTAGATGTGACTTAAAAACAAAATGAAGCAGCTTCGTGGTATATTGTCTTGCTGTTATTTTAATGTTTATTCTGTTATACAAGCTCTGGCGAATCAAGTGTGTTTTGTTAACAATGCAGTCATTATTTATGATAATTGATATGTTTAAGTTATTGATTTCTATCGTGATGCCTTTGCTTGTCTGAAAAAGTAATTTATCACCAATGCAATGTGGTTGGTCACAGGTTAATATGCACTTAACAGTAACTGCTCGGCCTTGTACGATCTTTTTCTTTTTTTTTTTTTTTAAGTCTGGTATCCCATTTTCACAGCAATCTGTATTCCTTATTTTACAGTGAAACATGTAAGGTTAATACACATTCCTTAGCAAACCTCAGAATCTGCAGCTTTAGTATTAAAATATGTGTCTAAATGTAAAAGATAACGCTTGAGTGGGAACAGTGGAAAGAAGAAGATCTGGAGAAAAAATTTGTGAGGTCCTCTGTAGGACGACTACGGGATGATGTAAGTGTGTGTGTATGTGTGCGTGCGTGCGTGCGTGCGTGCTGCATACCTAATCACTGCGTGTTGCTGCTGTTGGGGGTGACCAGATTGTTCACCCTTTGCTTATGTTCCCTCAGTGGCTTTACTGAGACTTATCCAACGCACTTTGTCTAAGCTGCACCCAGAGACGCAACTCAAAACACCTCTCACCCACATGCACTTCACTGAAGGGCTTCATAGGGAATAGACCAGCGAATGCAACTAGTTCAGGATGAAGAGTTTCTAGTTTTACCTCTTTTTTGTGTGAGTGACCTTCTGACACCACCGACAAATCAGCTATTCTGAAATATGCCAATATGAGTAAATGTGGAGATAAAAACAAAATAATGTTTATTTTGGGTGCTGAACAGAGCTACCCGGTGTGTGTGTGTGTGTGTGTGTGTGTGTGTGTGTGTGTGTGTGTGTGTGTGTGTGTGTGTGTGTGTGTGTGTGTGTGTGTGTGTGTGTGTGTGTGTGTGTGTGTGTGTGTGTGTGTGTGTGTGTGTGTGTGTGTGTGTGTGTGTGTGTGTGTGTGTGTGTGTGTGTGATAAAGAGGAAAGACTTTTCCCATGCCTCTGGTGCCCGGAGAAGAAAGAGATAAACAGGAAATACTTGACTGTGTACAGAAAACCTTTTTGAAGCGCTTCATTGGCATTATGTGTGTATGTTTTTAGGAAAGGACTTGTGGCAAGATGTGCCACTCCACTGACATGGATCATACCTCCAGCACAAGTGTAATAGTAACATGCTAATATGTGTTAGTGAGGATTAAAAATCAGAAGAGTCAGAGGGAGACTTGACAGACAGAACCATTTAATGAAAAAAAAAAAGCACAATTTACAATACAATTCCGTACATCCAGATTTGTCGCTATCAGCCTGTTATTATTTCGCTGAAGTGTTTCCGCATTCACTCTGTAGCTCAGATGTTCTGTGATGATTTAAGATGCGTGTTTTTCTTTGATTTGTTTGCTTGTTCTCTACGAAGTTTGGTGAAGTCAAATAGATATATCTTATGATTAACAAAATGAATTCCATTCTTTCTATGAAAGTAAAGCATCTTGTGTGGAAGAATCACACTTCATCCTCTATGATCCTGGGATACATGGTATATAATATTGTTTGTTCTCACTCAACTGCTGTGGAAAATGATCCAGTATATATGCTGATCATCACATTCTTCTGTCTTTGATGCCTTTTTTTTTGTTTTTATTATTTCATATAAAGTGTATGATCTTTTGTGGGACTATGTTTGTGTCATTCTGTTTGGAGGTAATGCTTGCTATTTGATTGTGTCTGACCAACAGGAATACCTTAAGTGTATGCTGTGTTTGATTTGTATAGAAATGTGGTTTAAAGTATGTTTAAAGAACAAAATACATTGTATGAAGAAAAAAAAAGGCCTAATGAAGCTAACAAAGTGTGGCTTGTGGTCATATTTGTATTAAATAAAGTTTCTAACTGAATACATTTGCGTGTGTGCTCCAGTCTGAGTCAGAAAGTTCAACAGTAACCACGGGCGAGTAACTTTTACCCTGCTTTTTAAGTGAAAATTCATGAATGAGTTTATTGCAGTTAAAATCCCTCAAGCATTTCCATGTTTCGGTTTCTTTTATTGAATAACACAAACCTTAAAGAGTTATAGAGACAGTAATTCAGTGGACTGCTATTTGGTAAATTGTATATAAAACAGTATTTTCTCTTTTTAAAGGTCAACAGAGGCCGAACTGAAGGCTAAATACGCTCCTCCTGCTTCTTAAGAGTTTGCTGTTGGAATATTTTAAGTTTTAGAATTATAAGTCACAAGTGAGGAGAAGGGAATTTTATTTTTCACCCACACCCACTTCATGTAATGACCCATGTGGGGTTTTTGCCTTCTAGCCTAGGACTGCCGTTTCTGAGCCAGTAGAACTTGTGATATTAAAGGATCAGTTCAGATTTTATGAAGTGGGGGTTGTATGAGGTACCAGTCAGTGTATTACCTACAGTAGATGGCGCTCAGCACGCCCCCCAGTTTGGGGAAGCAGACAGGAGCACAGACGCTAAGGAATGTACTGCTGTAGATTGGGGCAGCAACAAAACAGATTTTAGCCACCTATAATAATGAAAGGAGGGGGGGAGGGGTTTAAGTGTACGATTAGATTTAGAATATTTTCACCTCTTTACTTCTTTACTTTGCCGTCAGACAGTTCTTTCCAACAAATTACTGAACCTTTTAATATCACTCTCTTCAAAGCCACAAGACTCATTTCACCTTGCAGAACACAGGAGTTGCTGGTCTAACAGTGCCTCAGTTATCATGGCTTTAAAGAACAGGAAACTCCCTCAGTCAAACTGTTAAATGGTAGTAATAGTAGGATGATTGGTGAGTCACATCTTAACCCAGAATCCCTGTACAGTAGGCAGTTACAGTTTTTAAATGACGACTCCTGCCCTCAGCACAGTGACTTATTCCTTCTGGAAGGAGGTTTATGGGCCCAAGATGAAGAACGAAGCGGTATAAAAATAGTTTTGTTCCAGCAGCTATCATTCAGATCAACAAGTTGTGGTAACATGGCACAGAATTGTTCTTCTTTTTACCTGCATTTTTACTTTTTTTTTTTATTTATTTTTTATTGATCTCTCTTTGTAAGTCCTGATTTTTAGAGCTTGGAGCACTTTCATCTTTATCCTTGTTTGTTGTTTTTATATTTTTGTCAAGAGGAATGCCTCTTTTACTGCAAACCAAATCTACCTGTGGGTACAAATAAAGTTACCTTGAACTAGGGTTGAATTCTGTGGATCAAGGCAGTGGTGGACCAGCAACTCCTGTGTTCTACCAGGTAAAATTACTGTTTTTGTCTTAAAACAACGTACTGTATAATGAGTGTCTGAGATGGTTTTGTTAAAATAATTAAATTCTATGAATTTTATTGTTAATTTATAAACACTTATATACACAAGACTTTAACAGTTGGTACAAAAAGGCAACTTGATAATCAAATATATTAGAAACAAATTCTGCTTCTTGTATTCAGGTATATTTGGCAAAGGGCTTACAAATTACAATGTAATGACGACTTAACTGAATTTATAACTGAGGATCTTCACACTGTGGCATTGTGTGGTGAAACAGCTGCATCACAGCCAATCAGTGAAAACTCTTCTTCAACATTTCCTCCAGTCCAACTATCTGGGAACAACCTAGTCCTTTCCGTTACTGCCCAGCTGAGCTCCAGCTATCTTTTGGTCTGTGGTGCGTACAGGAAGATGGCGCTGTACGTGGAGAGGATCTCCCTGGCCTCGGTGGTGGCCAGTTTGCCTCCGGTCCTCACCAGGCCCACGCGGTCTCCTTTCCTCAGGGGCAGGATCAGACTGAAGGACACCGAGCCTCCGCAGCCACAGTTACCACCAGCTGAGCCTCCATGTTGACCAGCCACAGGCCCAGCTGAGCTCTGCAGCCTTTGGACGCTGCGGTTAGACACAGATAGAACGGCTTGTACTCGGTCACCCTCCTTTGCAGTCAGCAGACCTGAAATCAGGTATCGGCCATCCAGAGGTACAGTGAAGATCCCTGTAGAGATGAGGAAGGGAAAGTGCCGGTAAGATCAATAAAGTGTGTTATGTTTGTGGAACAGAGTCAGATGTTTACTAATGTTGGTTATTTGTTCCTCAAAGCTTACAGGAGTGACATTTATAGGTTGACGTTTTTTCAAATATTTCTTAAACTGGGTTCCCTCACGTTCTGGAAAACCTTGCAGTGATCCTTTCTGCATGAACAACAATTTTCCTGATGTGGTGGTTGATAATACGTACATACTGAAGTTAATTTTACACTTTTACTTTCTAGAAGATTAGTTTTCTGTAAAATAAGATAAATTCTACTTGATTTGAACTGTTACTGACGGGCTGTGGCCAAATGAATGTACACACGTGACCGAAACTGCAGCTTATATGACTGTTTTTAAGCAAGTGCTGTGCTATATTGTCAAGACAAACTCCTGGAAAATGTCCTAGAAAAGTGAAAAATAGTGAGAACTTCCTAATGTGCTTCCAATGTAAGAGAGGGGGGACAAAAGCCACAGTCTGTACAAAAATGTATTCAAAAGCTGAGGTCTGAATTAGTCAAGTGGATATCTTTCGAAGTTACAACCCGTTTGACTCGAGCCTGGATTTGTCAGTTTTTAAAAGCTGGCTTAAAATGTATCTGAAGCTGTTGTTGAGGCAACATGTCTCTAAACTTCTTCATGTCACCTGTTCGTTCCCGGATCCCAGTTTGAAAGCCACTGCTACAGATCACGACTAAAGCTCAAGGTGATCTCAATACATTCATTCATTTTCAGATATTAATAACACATTTGTTTTTGGTGCCTGTGCATAATTATGCTAATTATTATAATAAATTATCACAATCCATTGATATAATTATCACAATTTAAGCTGCGACAAACAATAAAGAGGTACCATAGATGCTATTTACAGATTTTATCACCCTATTAAACTGAAATGGCAAACACGAGGCAATGTGAGCATTCATTTTAAGTCTAATATTCACTCTCCTTTTAGCTTTGTTTCAGTCCCAACCAGCTCCTAAGGAACACTTCCCTGGTATTGTGTTACGTTCACCAGCTAGTCCCTAACATTGTCTGACGTCTGGTGTTGGGCAGCTACCATACAGTGGAGATTGCTGAAAACAACTGCCCACTTGTGAGAGCTATGTGAGTGAACCTCGACTGTCAATTTGTGGGTCGTAAAAACAAAACAATGAGCTTAAAGACGCTAAACACTCCATAGAGCTGAGGAGAACTGCAGAGTTGGGAGGTAATTCTCTTGTTCTTTACTACAACTGACCTTTTTCACATTACATCATTGACCTATTGTTTATGTCATAATATTGGCTAGTGCAGCTTTAAATTACATTTACAGGATAACAGTAAAAATAGGCTATACAATAATCTTTGTTGTTGTTGTTGCTGTTGCGTACCTGTGTGGGGATCATAGTGTCCACCATCATTGACTAGAACTCTGTTGAAGCGGATGATGCCAGAGTCTCCGGAGAGCTGCTGTGTTAGGCCGGCAGAGAAGGAGAAGGGATCTGCAAAGGCGCTGTTGACAGCTGAAACTGAAATAACAGACATGCATGTAAGTCTCATTTCAAAGATGAATTACAGTGTGTTTCTCACTTTATATACAATAAATGGAAAAAAACACATTAAATCCATATCCCTCTAAATCCTCATATTTGAACTATTGATTTATTTATTTCTTTTTAATCAATGCAGTTAAAATTGAGAGATTTCAAGATGGATTTTACCTGGTGATTGAACTGGAGCTTGATACATCGGGTTCCAGGGCACCTTTGCTGCTACAGGAACTACAAGGTACAAATAAGTATAGAATAGAATATTATGTATTCTAACAGTCATGGATGCAAGCATCAGGCTTGACATCTTTATTTTTTATAGATGTTTAATTGAGTCTCTAGTTGTTTAAAATGAATATACAGAATCAATTCATTCATTCAGTCTTTGTGTTCTTTCCTGGGTCGGTAAGTGACTAAAAAGAAAATGTGCATCTTTGCATTAGTGAATATAGCCATTATCTACTTCAGTAATGCCATTTTCTTAATCATCACCAAATGTAACAGGGTAAAACTTTCTGGTAAGTGCCTGCGGACGAGCTAAAATCTTTGCACAGTCCGCCCACACCTCCTTAAACTAAACACATCCAGTTCCCACTCCCTCGCACTCTCAGGCTACAAATTATTCACAGCCTTTCCAGTTTCTTACACTGATGTAGTAGAATGGCAAAGCCTGCAGATGCATGCAATGTAACCTGATAATGAACTGCTAAAATACCTTGGCGGCGGGTTGGTCGAGGCTTAAAAGACACAGGCTGCAGAGGAGGATAGCCTGCAAAAGAAACAGATGACAAACACATCATGTTTTATCATCATCTGAGGACAAGAGTTAGCGAATATTCTTGCCAGAGACAGTTGTCTGTCTGTCTGTTTGTTTTCCATCTGACCATTATGGCAACACACTGTTCGATAGGTTTAAATAGATGGTATAAATTAAAACAAAAAAGGTTAGAATCTCGACTACATAATTTGTGTTTGGCTTTTTGAATTTGTGTTGTTTGAGTTCCAAACGAAAGCAACAACCATAAAACAGAAACAAGACCAACCCAAAAGATAATGTTAAAAGTGGTGAGGGCTCTATACTAAAGCCGGAAGATTTGCATGGATTTTTGCACATTCTCATTCGGATTCTTGTCTAACAAGATGTATTGCAAAACTATTCTCTATTCCTTTGCTGCCAAAACATGCCCATGTGGAGGCTACAACAAAGGCTTTGTCATGTTGTTTGATATTTTCCTCAATCATCCTATACGCAGTGCAGTTAATTCCATCCAGAACTGGCTCTGTGACTATCTGTTGTCTCTTCCGTCCAATTTGAGTTGGCCTCCGTTTAAAGCCTTTTATGTGTAGCATTGTTATGTGTGGATGAAAAAAAAACAAAACAAAGTACATGGATAATTAAACCTTTGTTATGGGTTCCATGTGTGAAAAGGGCTAAAAAGAATTCCAGATTTTGTCATTGCTGATTATTTTAGATGAGAATATCTTATGTAACTATGAACTGACAGCCCTGTTGAAAAGGCAAACATACATATATTATGTCACATATGCGGTAATGCTGGCTCAGTTCTTCAGGATGCCAGATTTATGACACAGTCATAAAATGTCCTTCTTGTCACTGCAGTGATGACAGATTCCTGTCTCAGCATTCATTTATATAAGCAGACTCTTACTGTCTGCATATACTGAGACAAATACAAGGGAAGAGGACAAGACGTTTGGCAATACTGACTACATATTTAATAATTACAGGGCACAGTAATATAATTACTAGGTAACAAGACATGTAAATAGAGACAAGCATATTGAAATAAAATTAGTTTTGGTATTATTTATATTAAAATTATGATGTACATGTACTTTTTAAATATGGAAAATGTTTTTTAAAATTTAAAGTTGTTGCTCTGCAGCTGTAACTACAAAATAGTTTTGTTTGTGTTTTTAAAATTATGATAAAATGCTGGGGAGTTTAAGGATCCATCTCACAATCAAAATAGATGTTCGAGAACAACTTGGAACAACTTTCTTTTAACTGTAATTTTATCAGATTGCAGACAACTATGGAGTAACAAACCTTTATTGTGGCTTATTGGAAAACATATAGTACAGTATGAGGAATATTGTGTAGTATAATAAGTATTCCCCTTTTAGGTGTGTGCACAACAAAAGTCAATATATCATATTTTATATTTATAAAGGTGAATATGTTACTTATAAGTAATAGTGCAGTGAAACAAAAATGAGATTTAATGCAGATTAATGTTCAGACTGATTAGAAAATATAATTTCTGAGTGTGTTTTCAGCTGCAAAGTGAAGGTGGTCTAGAACAGTGAAGGTGGTCTAGAACAGTGAAGGTGGTCTAGAACAGTAAAGGTCATCATCACCATTAGCTCTACTCACCTGGTGCTCCAGCAAATCCTTTGACAGGCATGCTAGACGAGTCCTCGGACCCTCTCCGCACAGTCACCCTGCGGATGTACCCTGGAGGTCCAGCCTCGCCGGTCTCCACCACTGGCCTTATGGGAACCAGAGGGATAGTGGGGTGGCCTGGTTGCTGGGGGCTGGACGGCTGGCTTGGCGGGCTGATCCTGATCGTGTGTGTGTTGGGCTGCACTGGTTGGCTGGGATTGTACGGCTGCCTGCGGTTGGACGGCGGTGGGGGGAGGATGAGAGGGATGTGGATTTGTTGGATTCTGGTTCTGGTCGGACTCGACTCTGGCATGGTAGCAGGCCTCTCTGGTGCCAAGGCCACTCCTTAGAAAGCAAAAAGAAAAACAGTGGTAGAATGGGAAACACATTAATTTTACAGTTAATTTTCTAACCATATGATCAGTGTTAGAATCGAGCATTAAAACGCTGGTCAAAACAACTCTTATAATCCAATTCAAGGTTATGGAAAATGCTGTAACTGCAATCGCACAAGCCTCCAATTTACTTTGTTATTTACTTCCTCTCTCACACTCAGACCACATCCCTCCCTTCTCTTGTGAATTCTCCTTTTTACAGCTTATATTCTGATGACAGGCCAAATTAAACCTGGCTTTCACTGCACCTCCGAGCTTTTTTTTTTTTCCAGTACCATTATTACCCTTCGTAAAAGCAAAGCAGGCGGTCTGTGTGAGTTTTAGACAACGAGAACCATCTGAACAGAAACCAGTTGGCCACTTGCCAGACCCCTTGAGGGAACAGATATCACCTGGGCCTGAGCTTAGAGATGCTGGGAGAGTGTCCTGGGGACAAATAACAACAATAATTACAGTACCTGCTTTGTGTCAGCCCCTTCTCACAGCCAGGTGGCAGACGCATTGTGTCATGCCGTATTTAAGATTCAGTGGGTTTCTACATTAAATGGCTTGTTTGATGCTTCCTGTATCTGTATCTGCAGTGTTGTTTAAACCTTGTGGGCGAGGTTGGGCATAAATGGAGTGCATGTAACCCGATTACAGTAATGTCATTCAGCCAAAGACACTTAAGGAAATGACCACTTATTCCAAATGATTATACAGTTAGATTTGGCGGAAAAGAATCTGCTCTTTGAGGAAGTGCTCAAGGAATACAAACAACAGAGATTCTGCAGAGAGAATAAATAAATATATCATCTGGTATATTCTGTAAACATACATGAATGTTAAATCTTATCAAATCCAATGGTACCGAACAAGCTTCAATACATAAAAAAGCTACAGTGCTAGTGCTACAGCAGCAGAGGTGTAGATATGAAGGAAGCAGTGTGAAAGCGAAAAAGTGAGTGTCAGGTTATAAAGGCCACTTGTACATCTGCGTGAATCTGATTGGGTGCTACTGGTCCGCTGGTAGCTGATCAGCTGTTGTAATAAAAGGCCACAGATGCTGAAGCATGGAGAATACAGCTGATAGCCGATCAGCTGATGCAAATGCCTCTTCAGCGTTTTGCTTGAACTAACAAAAAACCTCTATTTACAACAAGACTAAAAGTATGCAGCCATGCTAATAGCTCTGTGAGGCTGTATGATAGCTAGATGCTATTGTCAGCATGCGCCATGCTCTCGATGAAAATGAGGGCGCTTGTAATAAATTAATCTTAAATCAAAGTCCACTTATTAGATTACAGCCATATGGAGTTTGCTCAAACTCTATTCGCTGATGGCCGCAGAATGTAGTTAAAAGCTCTGGAGAGAAGCTGGTCAGTGGACCATAAGTTAAGATCATTTTATCAAAGCACATAAATGTCAAGAATGAACCTTCATGCTCAAATCCACCAGGTACCATTAAATGACTTAGCATCTTGAAACAAAAATAATAAACTGTAAATTCTGCCATAGCCAACAATATTTCAATGAATCCAACTGTTAATTCAATTATACATTCAGTCTTGCACTGAAGTGATCAGTCCAAATGAAAGCAGCCTGTTACTCTGGATTATGAAAGTAATCAACCACTCTGGTCTTATCAAATAAAACATCATCAACCATCAACCAAATTCTTCCTTTTTACTGCCAGGGATACCACCAGCTACTCAGAAACCGCATGTATAATTAAAAATAAATTAAACCCGGCAATCATGTTGTACTGAGATAATCAGAAATCTCTTCTTCATTTCCTCCCTATGCCTCCTTCAGGACGCCGGTTGCCTGAGTGCATATTTCCCATGAGCTCTCAGCCTGTGTCTCAGTAAGGGGGCAACCGCAAAGTCAGAAAAAAAAAAAAACACAGAAAAGGCGCACATGAGTACTGGTGCAACCATGACCATCACCAAAACCAGATGTTATTGCTTACAAGCAGATTGAGACACTGCAGGGGGAGGGATGCTTTAGTCACTGCTGCTTGCGCAGATTCGGGTGTGTGACAGTGTGTGAGTGATCAAAAGTGTCTGAAACCGTCAAGGAGTATTGCAGCAGACAAGCTGATCATGTGATGGAAAATGGTGTCAGGGGGCACAGAGCAGGGTGTGGTGGTTACACGCACATATAATATAATGGATCACTGCCACTCTGACATTTTTTTCTTTTTCCTTTTCTTGCTATGCGCATGGACACAATTTCACCCTCCACCCCATTTTCCTCCAGCGATATTAATGATGGGAGGTTCAAATTGTGCACTGCATGGCAGACCTCAGGGACTCCCATTGTGTATCTGGGTCCATTCTCCTCTGAAGACTTCCAGATGGGCTCCCTGGTCAAAGATGGAAACACCTCACCTCGTAGCTTCAGAAATCTCTCTGGGGAAGCTGCTGCAGTTAAAGCACCCCTTCAAAATGCTGACTAAATATATACAGTGTGTGTCTGTGGCGGTGTCGGGTACAATTTTCCATTCTTTCTCAACAGACACCCTTTGACTTCAAAAAAGCCTTTGATATCTTGTTTTTCTTGTATTCCCTCATCACGGTAGACAGTTAATCTTACTGCCTGTCTCTCCAATATGAAGTTAGAATGATCAATTGCAAAGCATTGATCCGTGAAATCAAAGCCTTTATTTTATCCTGACTTTAATACAAGCACTTTTTTTTCTGAAGGCCTCGCCTGTCAATAGACACTTACAGGACAGGGTGGAGGGAGAGGAGAAAAAGAAGTCCTCTGGCATTCTTGGAAGGACAAATTGGAGGAAAAAACACTGGACAGAAGGAGAGAGCACCGAGGGAGTAAAGAGAGAAATTCAGAGATAAGGGAGAGAGAAAAAAACGACAGGGAAGTGATTTGAGCCAGACTGGGACAACTTCCAAAAAACAGGAGGAGTTTGAAAAAAAAAAAACAGCTTGAGAATCGAATTAGAAAATTCAGCGCAAGAAGGTTGGTTAGTCATCATCTGAATTAGGAACAGCATGCTCAAGCTCTTTGAAAACAGAAGCATTTTCCATATTTCTACATTTCCTAACTTTTGGACCCACTCTATTGCCTAATTTCAACATAACACACTGTCGTTAGACTTTTAAATGATGCAACAGAGTCACTGCTGCTTAACCACAACTCCCTATCGGAAAAGAAAACAGCCAGAAACAAACACATACACGCTGTAGTGGCAGACCTTTGCTACAGCAGCTGCTCTGGGCGAAGCAGTGCCAACATTTTGCAACTGAAGTCACACAATTCCTCTCAGCAGTCACATTGAGTAAGGGCAAAGCAATTCCACTTAATCTTTCAGTTATGTTATTACAACATCTCATCTGTTCATGGCCTCCTCGGGGTCTTCATATGACTGAGTGGAGAATATGAGCTCAAACAGAGAGAGGAAACGTTTCAGTAGTCTCTCAACCACCACCACCACCACCACACCCACAGAGCTGGGATTTTTCATGGAAATTTTTATCTCTATTTAGACTATTTCTCTCTTTGCCAAACTTGAGGAAAACATTAAATCTTCATGCTACCTCAGCCACACGGTCCAACTCCCTCTCTCGTGGGATTTAGGATACAGATATCTGCACGAAGTGACAGAATATGATGATATTTGCCCTTAAAGGAAATTATCAACATTTTGGGAAATAAGTTTATTCACTTTCTTGCCAAGAGTTAGATAATGAGATTGAAACCACTCTCCTGTCGTAATGTGAAGTTACCACCAGCAGCCTGCTAGCTTAGCTTAGCACAAAGGCAGTAAACAGGAGAAACTAACTAGACTGGCTCTTTCGAAAGATAACCAAATCCACCCACCAGCACCGTTACAACCAATTTGTTAACAAGAAAGGTGCATCTCGTTTGTTTACTCCATACAAAAACCAAAATAAATAAATATTTCTCAAAATGTCGAACTTTTGCTCTCTCATATAAATAAAAGCTAGAAACTGTTTTCTTTTTGGGATCTATAAACAACTAATAATCATAAAGTAAGAGCCCTGACAAAAATGTTTCACAATCCTGCTGCAGTATACACGGCTCTGTTTGATTTAACGCTGGCAGAGGTACAGTATAACGTTACATGTACGCTAATGAAATCAAATCAAAGTCTGGAAGAAGCCGACCATATTTGGCAAAGAGTGAAATACCAAATGCCTTCACACTCTTTGTTTCTCTACATCACAACCATTTATCCATCCACCCTCCTAAGTCCCTATCATACCATTGTTTTGGACTATGGTGTAAGAAAGGGAGGCACCAGAGATGGGGCCCCAGTCATGACATCACAGCTGAGGGTAGTCGAAGCATCTGGTCCTGGGTGTGGAGCCTGCTTCTCCCCTCTCCATCAAGACTGGCTCCAGCAGTGAGTCAGGGCCCTTAATGAGGACCAGACTCCACACATCAGGGCTGAGGTCACCCTACGGGAATCTCTAGAGGTTGGTATGTGTACATGTGTAAGGAGAAAGACAGGGAGGGAGGTGTATTGTGTATGAGCCTGTGTGTGTGTGAGAGAGAGAGAGACTAGGAAATAGGATCGAGGTCTGCAGTTCTGTGGTATGAGTAAAAAAAAGCAATGTCATGGTGTAAGAAAGAAGACCTCACAAGTCAACATGTTCATAAAAGGAGTGGGACAGATGGAACAGTCTGCTCGGATGTTCTGACATCTACATAAGGGAGCAATGAGGCACTAAACAGTGAGAGTAAATCATAGTTAGGAGGGGCTGAGCTCGGCATGTACAAATTTAAGATCCTATTTACCTATCCAATTCCTTATATAAAAACTGGGGAATTCTTAGGACAACATGAATCTAAGTCAGGGAAGTTTCCAATGTGGGCCTCTGCCTCGGTGCCGGGACATATTGAATGACACACTCGAGGCAAGCACGGGAGGCCCAGTGAACCCGTGTCCTCCCTCTCCGGGAAATACCCTGTGGCCATTCATGGGATTTGATCCTTCCCTCCAAGCCTCCATGTAAGCCAACCAAGCAAAATGCATTATATGGAGGATTATCTTCAGGAAAAGTTTGTGTTTACACAGATGTTAATCAGACTTGATAAACTCATATGTTGGAAGTTAAAGAGGAAGCTGCAAAGGAGTATGTTTAGTCAGTATTTTTTTTACCCAGCTTTTTTGGCTTATTTCAGTGTCTGACAGCGGTTATGTGAGAATCCATGGAATCTTTTAACAATAAAATTAAGTCATAAACTATGTTTGATTACTGTCATACAGTGTCTTGTCAATATTTAGTGGTCTTGTCTAGAGCCAGAACCTGGTTAGTTTTGCTTCGAATAAAAAGACTGGAAATGAGGGGAAACAGCTAGCCTGGCAGTGTCCAAAAGTAGCAAAAGTCCAGCACATAACCCCCCATAAACTATAACTAGAGCTTTTACACTTTTAATCGGAACTTCTAGTTCAGTGCTGACGGATTTTGTTTTGATACTAAATAGGCAGTGTGGTATCGGGCTTCTTATCCAACTCCCAAAATGTTTAACTTGTCCTTCAAATTCACCAATGAAGCAAAGCTTGCAACATAGTTAAAGCAGTCAGTCCCCTGTTACGCTCTCATGGCATACTCTTCTCATTGCAACATACATGCAGTGCGCTCTTTTCATTATATTGTACTTAAGCAGGATTCTGCGCACTCACTCACTTAGCTGCCATGCCTGCTGCCACACTGTAAAGCTGAGAGCTAGTCTAGCATAGCCAGACTTATCTCAACATTTTGTTTTAACACTGCCAGTGCTGGAAAAAGGTCTGGATGAAACCATTATTGTTCTGGTATAGGGTGTAAAGACACTGGCTTGTTTTTCTTTAAACCAGAGGTCTCAAACTTTTGGCCTGGTGTCCTTTAGCAGCCCTCAATCCCCCTCCCTTTGACATGATGCAAAAAACTATATGTAATCCGGCCTGCAAGATCATTCATTTATTTTATTTCTTCTAGGTGTTTCATATAAATTTAAACTTCTCTTTTATGTACAATTAAAATGATTAAAAAAATATATTTTGTTTGGCGCAAAATAATAAATTGGATTGTTAAGAAGAGAACAGGCCTTCTTTTGTTGTCTGGCTGTGAACAACAAAGATTATATAAAATAGTGATATAAAAATGTATAGAGACTGCTGTTTGCATGTTGTTATTAAGTATGATGTTGGAAATATTTTCAGAATATTGAGGTTTCTTATAGAACTCGAACATTGAAGTGGCCCTCCTATGAGACGGCAATACCAGCAGTGGCCCCGAGCCAATTTGAGTTTAAGACGCCTGGTTTAAACCAAGGATGCAGCGACGGTGCCCTTGCAAAACAGTGTCGGAAGATAGCGGAAAGAGAGGAGAATGTCGACTGAAATAATCGCCCTCTGGCAGACTTATACCAACAGCATACTTCCTGTGAGCCAGACTACCTGAAAGCTATCTGTCCCTCCCAGAGTTTCATAAGCCTCACCTACACCCTAGCATTCACCTGCAGACTTTGAGTCTACATTCCCTTAGGTTGGAAGTTATCATTATCACTCCCTGCTGTGTTGAGCTTGCTGCTTCCTTTTGGGTTTTGATTGTCAGGTTCTATAAGCCAAATACCAATGCTGCACATAATCCATTCAATGTGTATTGGCGGACTAAAGTTCTGTAGTGATAAAGCCTTTGAATATTGGCCCAAAATTCAGGGATCTTCTAATTATATAAAATAATTAAATAAATATTGATAAACATCCCTGTCATTTCTAAGTAAGATATTACCACCGATAGCCAACAATGTCATGAAACCATCACCAAACCACCAACTCACCTGGCCCATTGGGACTGATGTCTTTCAAAACATGTTTGGCCATCGCAGACAGCTGTCCCTGGAACTTCTGCAATGACTTCTGCAGTGCGACGATGTCTGCGCCATGATTTCCACAGGTGATGTTCATCCTGTATACACACTCCCGCAGACCACCAATATGCCTCTCCAATCCATCTTTCAGCTCTTTGATATTAGCAGAAACGCCATCTAACCTTCCACACACTTTTTCAAGTCTGGTCACACGTCCATCCACAGCAGAAATGCCATCAGAAACACCCTGTGTGTTTTGTTTACATTGACTCAATTCAGATGACACCTCTGTACTGAGTGTATCAAGCCTGTTCTTCAGCTCCTCCACCTGACGTCTGGTGTCTTCTGCCTGACTACTGGGCTCTGCAATGACTGATGCCCAGTTATTCTGTGCTGGAATCCCAGTGCCACTGTGCTCTGCCTGGCAGCATGTTGAGTTTATTCTGTGCATATCCTGATTGTATTTGCTTAAGGAGTCACTCAACCCAGTAACAGCACCAGCCAGACCAAGCACATTATCTTGAAGATTAATGAGTCCCTTCTTGAAGTCCTCCATCGTCGTAGCACGTCTCTCACTTGCAACTGACTGCCTTTCAACAAATTCTTCTAGGTACCTGAGCTTGTCTTTGTTGGTAATGACATCTGTGTGAAGAACATCCAAGTCATTCCTATACCGACTCAGGTCCTTCAAAATGTTTTCTAGGACTTTAGGTGTGGGTGATGAACTCACTGCACCGACCGAAATTCCTGAGCCTGAACATCCTGCAGAGCACAGCTCTCCAACAGCATTGACCTTATCATCCAAACCTTGAAGGAGGAACTTATTATTGTTGACTTCTGTCTGGATGGCATCCATGGAGTCTCCAAACATCCCCGGGAAGGAGCTGTTGCTCATTTCCACCAGCATGGTCGTAAACTGGTCCTCCATGCTATTCAGACGCTCATCCAGAAGCTTCCGCAATGCTGCCACTTCGTCTGCAATTGTACGGGTCAGCTTCTCTTCAATATAGAAACAGTGAGTCTCTGCGTTTTGTTCTGTGATATTAATGCGTGCCTCCATCTCTTCAATCAGTAGGCTGAAATCATTGTCTTGTGGAGGCTCAGATAGGTGCACCAGCTCGTTGTCAAAGCGGGCATTCAGGATCCGGTGAGCATCTGCAATACGGTCAATCTCACGCCACAGGTCTTTGTGGTCACTATGATCCTCTTCTGCCTTGGTTGGATCTGTCTGCCTTTGAGTTCGAATAGGTCCATCTGCAGCAGCCATGTCCAGACGTAGTGCTCGGATCTCTTTTCTCAGATCATCCTCTTTGGTGTCAACCAGTTTGGTCAGGCTGACCAAACCTTGGTCACGGCTGTCTTCACAGGTCTTCTGCAAGGTGTGGATCTTGTCATTGCATGAGTTTTGTAGCTTGGCCATCTGTTCCTCCACATTCTGATCTAGCTCTTTCTTCAGCTTTTCAAATTTTCCATCAATGTAGGTCTGTATAACATCAAACTCTGCAATGGCGGGAGTCTGAGATTGAGAGGCATCCATCAGGACACGAATCTGCCCCTCATGACTTGTCATTGTTCCTTTTAGGTCTTCCAAAGCTTCATCCTTGCTTTTCAATGCATTGTTGATATCATCCAACCGGGCCATTATTTTTTCTATAGCCTTGTCTCCAGCAATCCCACCTCTAGTAGCTTGGTGACCATCCAGCACTGCTGGGTTCTCCTCTGTGCCTGCAGCTGTAGCACTGTCTGGCGGTTGCATGTTGTTGAGAAGTGTCACCAGCATCTTCTTTGTGTCTTCCTGCAGGTCTGTGCGAAGGTTGCCAGTTAATCCTGTCAAAGCTGACTGGAGATCCAATACAGTCTGAGACAGGCGCTGAACTTCACCTTCCAGAAGATGTACCTTATCAGTCCCTCCATGCCTTGCCTCATGGTGCCCTGTCTCTCTCCGTTCTGGCCCTATGATCAGAGAATGAGTTATTAGATTTCTATTAATATATACAAATGAACGTGTCTCTCCTCTTTAAGAAGAATAGCACTAAGATAGCTTAATTTAGCGGTTCAGTGGTATTTAACTTTAATAAAATACATAGATATTTAGCATAAATTTACAACAAGGGCAGAAAAGAAAATGGTGTCTTACGCTGTGTGTGTCTGGTTGTATGTCCAGGATTTGGTGGGAGGTATGGCTGTATTCCCTGAACTGTTTGTCTGTCTGGTGGTGGTTTTAAATCTTTACAGTCGAGACCTTGGTAACCAGGACAGCATCTCCACTGTAATTCTGTGACTGTCTTGAAGGCAATCTTGTATGTGGGTCGAAACCGATTTTGGTATCTGTAATCAAGGGCAGAGTAATTAATACGTTTTTTAAAATCTCAAACAAATTTATTACAATTACAATTGGCAACACTGACCATTATTTGGCATAATATTGCTGTCTTTTTCTGACAACATGTTTTGCTTGTCCACACTACAGCTATTCTACCATTCCAAAAAATGTAACTGTTCCCATAATATCGTCTTTTTTCTTTTTTCCTTTTTTGGAGCAGTTGACACCTGCAATCACCAAAACGTCTGTTTTTTTTATTTGGACATGGACACTTTTTGAGCTGCTCTTCTGTTCCCTATTACATGAAAGTTTCATCTTTCTAGCCAAGGCAAACAGTTCCCAAAGAAACAATGGATGACATCACTTCCCTGAAGGCAGGGGTCATGTCATGCAGAACATCTGGAAAGTTGATGACTGAAATAATCATCTTTGCACATTTCCCAACTTTCACCCTCACTGATAACACTGTCCTAGCTTGACAAATAGACAAAGGGGAAAAAGGACATTAACACTTAACATTATGGCTGTAATCAACTTTGTGCGCTTAAATGTCATACTAATGTGAGATAATGTGAAGCCAATACTATATGTCATGACTTAGAAATGGAAAAACCCATGGTATCTATTCTCACTGCCAGCCCTTCTTGCTTTACTGTGAAACTTGGATTTGTGCTCTTGTGACCCAAGAATGATCTGTTTCCAGGATCTTTTCCACAACACAGTAGGTCTTGCGCATGTGTTTTTGTAAGTGGATCACAAAGCTAAACCACAGACAGCGTGTGTTGTTTCACAACTAATAATGACTCTCAAAGGAAAAAATATCAAATTGCAACACGACATCTTCCAGAACATAATTAATGACAATGACTACTCACCAATTACTGGTGTAGATACTCCCATTTACAACAATTAATCACCATAAGAGAAACAGATTGTTGTGTTTATCTAAAACCTCTTTTTGTTTAGACATGGGCTTTAATCAAATCATTAGAGTATTTGTTATTAGAGTGTGAGAGAATAGATTTAGTCAATTCTATAACCGTGACATCTTAAAATAAACACAATAAACACAAATTTTCAAATATTTGGATGACACATTTTAAATGTATTTTTCACTTTGAATATAAACCGTATGCACTGTTCACTACTGTCTAGCTGCAGGGATTTAAATTCCACCAAGAAGTGAACACAGCTCATAAATCCAATGTCTTTTTGACATGCTTTTCAAAGTCATTGATAAGTCAATTATTTTTGCATTATGATGATAAAAGGTACAATAGGACATCACGTTATGTTATGTTGAGAGCCATATACCTGCTTATGACAAGTAAACAGTTGTGAAACATCTGTAAGTGCATGTTAACACATTTAATGCACAAATGAGAGATTTATAAAAATGTGTCAGAGCCAGACCTGTTTTGGAGGAGAACATTATTTGCTTTAGTGGAGCTTAAATTCATGGAGCCAAAGAAATGTTCCTGAGTACAAGTTAACAAAGTGGTAAATCACAAAGGCCAAAGAGAACTGCCTGAATGGAAGTAAATATTCAGAATGAAAGCCAATGTCTAACTTTTCCATTTATTTTGAACATGCCCTTCATAATCTGGGAAGGTCCAAAGTCTCCTTTAGCTTACAGCTATCGGTGCAATTTTTGACCCAATTTTCTAATAGAAAGGCTATGTGTCCCAGGTGTATGCTTATTTCCATCTGCTGCATACTGTAATAGACTGGAGGCTGCTGTGATTCTGAACACCACAAGCATGTTAACAGGCAGGAAGAACATTGTTTACAGTCTACTGTATTAGTGTAGCTTCTATTTGTTTTCTTTTGAGGATAGGATTATAAAAGGCAAGTGTTATCACACATATCTCAGGAGCTAATTAAATTCAATGACTATGCGTCTGTCTTTGATTAACGGCCTATATGTCCTATATACACCGATCAGTACTGACCACTGCAGACCGGGAACACCCCACAAGAGCTGCAGTTTTGGAGATGCTCTGACCCAGTCGTCTAGCCATCACCATTTTTGCTGCTTCTAACACATTAACTTTAAGACAAAATGTTAACTTGCTGCCTGATATATCCCACCCACTGACATGTGCTATGATAATGGAATAATCAGTGTTATACACTCTATATATATACTGTGTTCTGCACTGGAAGTAGTGCTGATGTAAGTGTGTCCACAGGTGATCACTAGTTGCTATTGGCTATTAAAACAAGCTTGTGACTTTAACCATTCTATTTCTATTTCCATTCAGCTACAGGGAGAGCTCTCATTAGCTTTAGGCTGCATCTCCTGGGTAACCCTTTGCCTTTTCAGTGGGCTTTCTAACTTGCTAGAAATGCTGTGCTTTTGGTTCTGCCAGTGGAGTTTCATCAGCCACTGTGAATATCTTCTGCCTCCAGGTCTCGCTCAGAGAAACATTTCTATCAGAACTATCTCATACATCTAAACATGATGCACCCCTTCAACCCGTTCCCTTTGCTCCCTGGATGCTCACGTCACTTGTTGCTGGCAGTCGGGCTGGTAGGCTGGGCATGGGGCCACTACGGGCTCCTGGAAGCTCTCCACACTCCCCTGCACGGCGCAACTCACGTTCCTGCGCACCACATAGGCACACCAGTTCCTGAGAAGAGAGGCAGGAATAAACAAGAGCTTCAAGATGGATATATATGTATACCAAGAAACTCTAAGAAACATTTTAGTGCAAATATCTTAGGATTTGTGATTAGGATTTAGGATTTTTTATGATTTGAATAATAAAAACATCTCAATTAGGTCCTTAATGCTTCACTGAGCTTTCCCTGAAGGTTGCGGTATTTCAGTAAGATTGTTCATCATTTTTCTCCGCAAGCTTATTTGAGTTTATCAGGAAAAGGTTGCAAATAGACTAATGGTCTCTTGTACACTGATTGGAGTAATCACTGGCATTCCAGCGTTTATCTGGATCTTATCACCTTTGGCAACACTGGCAAACACGAGCCAAATTTAGACGCAAGCTGATAAAAAGCACAGTGGATGTTAACAGGCTACACATGACCATAAGAGGCTAAATGTTCGCCGATCTGAGGTCATTCCGATCAATGAGAACTATGGGCGTTATCGCCTTTATGTTGGCAACTGCGCAACAAAAGCGCACAGCCTCCACTTTAAGGAAAAGTGGGATTAAAGAAACGGTGGTGTTCAACTAGTTGTTATGACTTTCACAGAAGCAGAAAAGTTCAAATGTTTCGCCATATAAGTATAAAACCATCTCCTTACCTATTTCTGTGTCTGTGCACCACTCCAGTGTATGCAGACCCCTGGAACAAGTCATAAGAGGAGGGAGACCCGTAAATGAAATGAAAGTTCAAAAACAGTGTGAAAACTGTCCACCGCCAGTCCATCTCTCCGTTCCTGTAACTCATACTTTACAGACGCCTTAAAATAAATATTCCTAACATAGAAAAAGAGGGCTGCTCTGTTATTATCTTGAACTCTGGTCCCAAACACCAAAGTCACATTGCCACAGTGACTGATCCAACTCCAATAACTCAAGTTTGGGGAAGTCCAGTTTCACTGCAACTCCCTTGGAATGACGTTTAGGGCCCACACCCTCCCCCTAAAAAATTTCAGCTGAGGGGAAAAACTTCCCCTAGCATTTTGTAAAAGTTTTATAGCCAAGGAGGTGTTTTTGTATGTGGTAATGTCCTTTAATTAAGTTATTCTTTTTAAGTCTTCACTGGTGAACTCATGAAATCATTAATTAATAAGAGACTCAGAGGATGCTGCAACAGAAAAGGAGTTGGGATACCAGTTGATTACTTCTTTGTCTGCCAACAGCCAATATTCACACCTCACTGATGAACGTAATAGGATGATGTCTTTTGAATGCAACATCCAGCGTTGAAAGAGGTGTGTGTAGTGGTAACGTGGATGATATTCATGGCCAGGGATAACAGTAGTAATTTACATTCTGTCTGCCTTGGTGAATGGGGGATACATTGTGCAGTGTGTTCTTTTCTGCTGCAATTCGCTGAGCAAATTCTAACATTTTAAGCCAAACTGAGCAGTATCTTAATGTGGAGGGAGACAGAAAGTAGCACATTAGTTACACAAGAGCTTCAATTCACAGCACTTGAGGCAGGAATTCATTGTCAGTGCTTTAGTGCTGTGTGAAAGTGTGAGAAAGAGGAGAGTTTTCACACACACACAGTGGTGCTGTGAAATTTATTTTCGTGAGATGGCCTTAAGCAATTTACATGCAGTTTCCCAGGCTGCTGTCATGGGCCATACTGAATGACTTTTTTCTGATCAGACAGATGCTGCCAGTTAACACAGAAATGATTATGGGGGGAAAGAAAAACAGAGGGGGAGACAGAAGGAGAGACGTAACCAAGGGAGACAGGGAGTTAAACAAAGACATGGTGAGAATTCAAGTTCTCGACGTGGAATAAAGATTCAGAGGGATGCTGAGAAGCATTATGGAAAGAGGAGATGTATAAGCCCACATGTAGACACACACTCATCTACACAACTACTCTCTCTCTCCCCCCTCCCAAAAATAACCTCTCACCATTGAACAAGCTCTCTTTCTAGATTGCTGTCAGACCCAGAGATAGCCCTTCCTAAAATAAGACTACACTATTTCATCAGGCAGTGTGCACCAGGTCGCGCCCAGTGAGAGATGCTGAAAAAGGTTATGTAAGTGAATGATGTTTGCAGGGATTGGATTTTAAGTGTTTTGCCAACATGAGCATCGGGTAAACTTGACATGTCATTAAGACCCGCAATATGCTCACCCACATGATCCTTTAATGAGATTATTGACATCTTTATTGATTTCCTTTGTTCATTTCCTCTCACTTTATTATATTTACACATAATTCTAACCCATGTTAACCCAAATTATAATTCAGTAAACCTCGACATCAACTGAAGGCTGTTCAGAAAGGAAAAAAGTAGACTGTTAATGGGAGCATTGTTTGTTTAGTCACCAGAAGAGGGCAGCACAGCAGCAGTTAAGGAAGCAAAAACTCTTTCCTGTAGTCATGGCAATTCCTTTCCAAAAGTGTTGGCGTGAGAAAAGGACATTTCATTACTGAGGCAGTATGAGTGCCCAAATTTCTCCAGTCACATTTCTCCATCACTTTGCCATGCTCATGTCAATTATCTGTGTTATGCACTCTGAATTCACTGTATCTTATTTATCACTCTACATTTTATTAGAATCATGTCTCTCAGACTAAATCAGTATCAGCTCTATTTCTGTCTTTGGTTATAAAAGCTACACAGTCTGTTTTCACTACTCTAATTGCAGCTGGATTAAAGCCCTCGCTCTTTACTTACTTTGCTTTGCCGTGATGACATTATCAAGCAACACACCTCACACCTATGTGCGCTGCTCAAGTTAAAAATAGTCATTAACTTCATATATGCCATGACATTCATGCTGAATGGGATGTAAGAGGAGTCACGATTGAAAGGAAATACCCGGCCATATCTTTCACTTAAAAAAAATAAACCACACGCCATGATTTCAGTCATAAATCCAGGGGACACGTCCTCGTTTCACCTCTCTGGGATCGATTTCTTATTTTTCGACATTGCAGAAGTTGGAGGACTGATTGGAATTGGAATAGCCTGCATTGAACCAGGGTGGATTCTTTGCAGCATACAATGCATTTGTCACTGAGACATGCATTTTGCAAGGCCACCCTTCACCACAGACTGCTTTTGAATCCTTTAAATTCTATGTACTCCCACTGAAGCAGTGACCTTGATCTTTATGTTAACTTATAATAAATGTGCATGTGCACCTTGATGGTGTTCAAGGCTGCTACTGGGGCAACACAAAACAGGTTTTTCTTTCAGGTCCAGTTTTGTTCTGTGTTGCAGAGCCACACTGGGGATCAAATTAAGTTCATGTAGGTGCACTGTGGATTTTGTGGGCATCGTGGCTTCCTAACAGCAAACATGCCCTTGTAAACCCAGGGAGAGTGAGCAGTGCTGCAGAGATCGCTTTCATTTGGCAAGCAACAGCTATGCACCACACGCATTACACCAGGATAGTGCTGCACTTACACTGGGTGACTCAGTGGGAGAGCCAAGGCACGCAAACACTGCCTAAACAGGTACTCTTCAAAGTGGGGTCAAGGGGCTGCCTATGGTTGCTGCGGTGGGATTGTTACTTCAATTTCACTTTTCTCTCCTTTAGCTCTACGAAGTGAAACAGAGAGTATGAGACATGGTGTTTTGATCACATATTGCATTTTATTCAGTCTGCCTTGCAAGGCATTTTTGAGACGAAGTAAATTCAGAGATGATCTTATTCCGAAGCCTCACTATATTCTACAGATTTATGGGGCCTGTGCATCACGACTGATGAGAGGATGCTGGATTAGTTGTCCCTTTTAGATACATACCATATTGCATGAACACATCGCATACACATTTTATATAGCTAGATGAAACAGCTGAAGACTCCTCTGTCTCACTGCATGCTGTTACACTCTCAGAGCTTTTTTGAATAAGTGTTAGGTGTAAAAGAAGCTGAAATGATGATACCTCAGAGAATCGACTCCACCAGATTGTCTTCCATCATTATTTCAGATTTACCCCTCTTGTCTCCTCGTCTCTCCTCTCCCTTCTCGTTCATTTTGCCCCCCACAGGAGAAGTCTTGACAGAGACCAACTTGTATCGCTGTCACTTTGTAATAGTCGACTGATCGAAAATAGCTCCCTAATTAGTCGACCTTTCCATTATGGGTGGCACTTGCATTTGTAGGCTCGTACCCGGATTTGTCTTTTTTAGGATATTAATTGGCATAACACTGTGAATGACCTCCTCTGGATCAAGTTGTAGGTTGGCTTTTTCTTGTTTTGCTGAGGAAAAAAGCACAATGCGTATGATTCACTGTAATGTCATGATCAGAACATAAGATTAAGAGAAAGCACAAACAAATGTCATGGTCAGAGACAGACAGGGAGACAGACTGGCAGACAAAGGGAGAGATATAGTTGCCTGTTGCGGATGTGCACAAATAACACACCCACACACAAAGTCTCCCCTCTGACTCTAGCACACATGCACACACACACACACACACACACACACACACACACACACACACATATGCATGCAGACACACACGGCAGATTAGGAAAGCTGATTTATTGGTTGTAAAATGTTAATATAGCTATAAGCCTTGCTCATGAATTGTTAATTAAGGCCTTGACAGACTCGTCACCTAAAATGTTAATGAGGTGAGATTGCGTCGGGGCCGAGAGGTCTCTGTGAGCTACTGAGCAAATACAACAGATGAGCTGAATCCACAAGACCCCCCACGCGCTATAATAAGTAACGCTGAGGGCACCTGAGATGGGTCGTGCCCATTCGGCCATGGAGTAATTAAATTAATGAATGGCAGTGTGTGAATTAACCGCTGTGATAGTGAAAGGGAATGATAGATATGATCCATTTTTACCCTCTCCCAGCCTATATCTAGACTGTCTTGTTCAAACTGACTCACTGGTGCTGGAAAAAGGGATTTAGCCTATCTTTATATCTAATATATGATAAGAAGTTAGAAGGTTTATGATAAAAGTGCATAATAATAATAATAATAATAATAATAATCATCATCATAATAATAGTAGCACAGACTGATGACTACTGGGAGGAAGGATCTCCTTTGGTGTTTAGTGGTGCACCTTATTAGTGATAGAGTTTCCACCCTGGCTGATCCACTTTAATAATATTTGAACTTTTATTTCGATGCCTTTAATAAAATACACATTTGACTTGCCACGGCTAAAACACCTCAGGTATAACCGAAAACATTAATGATGCTAGTTTCCATTTTAGTGTGGCAGTGAGCCATACAGGTACATGATCCAGTTAATTGTTAATTAGAGACACTTGTGTTAAGTCAAAGAGACAGGCCTATTCATTTAATAATACTTAATATTGTAGCAGGTCAATTTGGAAGTTAATTTTATTTTAACTACTTTTTATACTATTGGGTACTTTATCTATAAAACACACCGTCTCAAATCCTCATAATGTGTTCTGAATATAAAATCTGTGAAGTACACAATAGTTACTGCACTTCTATTTGACAGCTAACTACAGCTAGATTGTGGATGAAATTGCACAATGTGGCGCCTTAATTAAGCACAGTACAAAGCAGTATAGAGAACCTGCAACCAAACAGACAAGTGGGGTTGCTCTGGGCCGCACGTAGCTTGTGTCCCATAAATTCCATAAATACTATTTATGTACAATATTTATCTTAGTGTGCTGTTTTCTCAACAACAAGAAATCAACATACCTACTGGCAGTAAAGTAAGTTACAATGACTTCAGAAGGCTGCTGCCAATGTAACAAATAATAGCAAATAGTTTTCCAAATATTTCATATTTTATTCATTTGTTCTTTCTAGAGTCCTCCTAGAGTCTCTCCACCATCTGCAATTTATTTTGCCCCCTGCATTTTATACATTAGCCCAAGGGTTCCCAAACTTTTTCATGTCAGCGAGCCCCCACAGATGTATGTT